TTTCTAGTCTTCTAGCACAGTCATTCTAAATGTGAGATGATTTTTCAACACCCTGCCTCAGGAGACATTGGGAAATTTCTTGAAACATTTTTGATTCTAAAAGTTGTGCAATTGGTGCTACTACCATCTTCGTGGTAGAGGCCAGGGATGCTGCTAAACATCCTACAACACATTAGAAAAACCCCCACAAAAAAGAAATATCAATAATATAAAGGTTGGAAAATACTGGTCTAGCACGTAGTATATGCTCAATAGCAAGGAGAGATAAGAAAGCCTTCCTCCATGATCAGTGCAAAGAAATAGAGGAAAGCAATAGAATGGGAAAGACTAGAAACCTCTTCAAGGAAATTAGAGACACCAAGGGAACATTTCTTGCAAAGATGGGCACAATAAAGGACAGAAATTGTATGGACCTAGGAGATGCAGAAGATATTAAGAAGAGGTGGTAAGAATACTCAGAAGAACTATACAAAATAATCTTAATGACCCAGATAACCATGATGATGTGATCACTCACCTTTAGCCAGACATCCTGGAATGCAAAGTCAACTGGGCCTTAGAAAGCATCACTACTAACAAAGCTAGTGGAGGTGATGGAATTCCAGTTGAGCTATTTCAAATCCTGAAAGATGATGCTGTGAAAGTGCTGCACTCAATATGTCAGCAAATTTGGAAAACTCAGCAGTGGCCACAGGACTGGAAAAGGTCAGTTTTCATTCCAATCCCAAAGAAAGGCAATGCCAAAGAATGTCCAAACGCCCACACGATTGCACTCATCGCACATGCTAGGAAAATAATGCTCAAAATTCTCCAAGCCAGGCTTCAACAGTACGTGGACCATTAACTTCCAGATGTTCCAATTGGCTTTAGAAAAGGCAGAGGAACCAGAGATCAAATTGCCAACATCCATTGGATCATCAGAAAAGCAAGAGAATTCGAGAAAAACATCTACTTCTGCTTTATTGACTATGCCAAAGACTTAGACTGTGTGGATCACAGCAAACTGTGGAAAATTCTTAAAGAGGTGGGAATACCAGACCACCTGACATGCCTCTTGAGAAATCTGTATGCAGGTCCAGAAGCAACAGTTAGAACTGGACATGGAACAACAGACTGGTTCTAAATTGGGAAAGGAGTACATCAAGATTGTATATTGTCACTCTGCTTATTTAACTTATATGCAGAGTGCATCGTGTGAAATGCTGGGCTGAATGAAGCACAAGCTGAAATCAAGATTGCCAGGAGAAATATCAATAACCTCAGATATGCAGATGATACCACCCTTATGGCAGAAAGTGAAGAAGAACTAAAGAGCCTCTTCATGAAAGTGAATGAGGAGAGTGAAAAAGTTGGTTTAAAGCTCAACATTCAGAAAACTAAGATCATGGCTTCCATTCCCGTCACTTCATGGAAAATAGATGAGGGAACAGTGGAAACAGTGACAGATTTTATTTTCTTGGGCTCCAAAATCACTGCAGATGGTGACTGCAGCCATGAAATTAAAAGACACTTGCTCCTTGAAAGAAAAGCTATGACCAACATAGACAGCATGTTAAAAAGCAGAGACATTACTTATGCCAACAAAGGTCCCTCTAGTCAAAGCTATGGTTCTTCCAGTGGTCATGTATGGATGGGAGACTATAAAGAAAGCTGAGCACCAAAGAACTGATACTTTTGAACTGTGGTGTTGGAGAAGACTCTTGAGAGTCTCTTGGACTGCAAAGAGATCCAACCAGTCAATCCTAGAAGAAATCATTCTTGAATATTCATTGGAAGGACTGATGCTGAAGCTGAAACTCCTATACTTTGGCCACCTAATGTGAAGATCTGACTCATTGGAAAAGACCCCGATGCTGGGAAAGATTGAAGGTGGGAGGAGAAGGGGATGACAAGGGGATGACAAGAGGATGAGATGGTTGGATGACATCACGGACTCAATCGACATGAGTTTGAGTAAGCTCCAGGGGTTGGTGGTGGACAGGGAAGCCTGGCATACCTCAGTCCATGAGGTCACAAAGATTCGGACATGATTGAGGGACTGAACTGATACTGATGTGCTCAACAAACGTATCTTGAACTTGAGTGAAGTTCTATGGTCATATGTAAAGGAATAATAATCAGAATTAGCTGTGTGTCCTATGAATCAAGGCTCTGGGTTTTATGCATTCATAGTATCTGCTGACTCACAGAACATTTTTGTTATTCTCTGGTTCTTGATTAACTTTATAAACTAATCTTCACATAGATAGGATATAGTTATACTTCACATAAATAGGAAATTATTATATTGGATAATCTCCTGGAAAGGATTAAATACTCCATCTACATGAGTAATGCTGAACTATCTGCTCCTACCTAATAATTTGTCAGAATTCACTAATTCTATGTTATATTGTTTCTAAATCTGAATCATTATATGAATCCTCAGTATTTTATTTTCCTCCCATCTATATTTTGGAATTTATTAAACAGTACTTCAAATAATTTTTAGGAAACTGAAGTTTTTAGTAACAGCTCTATCTCTAAATAGCTTTAGTATCTTGAAAAAGTAATACAAATTCTCAGATTCTCAATTTCCTCTTCTCTAAAATATACTTAAAATATTCTATGGATGATATCTCTTAATATTTATTATTTTGTCCATCCAACACAGCTTATGGGATCTTAGTTCCCCAATGAGAGATTATGCCCACTGCAGTGAAAGTACAAAATCCTAAACTGGACTCAACCAGGGATTTCCCAATATCTCCTCTAGTTCTTATTTCTGAATATTTTTTGGTCCCTTTATTATACTCTTCATCCAACTTTTCTATTGCTTTCTTTCTTTCTTTCTTTCTTTTTTTCCCCTTGTTTTCTTCCTGAGGATATTATTTACATGGTTTCAGCTAGAATATATCCAAATCTCAGGACAGCACATTTCATATTCATCAGCCAACAAGGGAAGAAAACTTTGGCTGAACAAATCATGCTTATAAAAATTAGTACTAGAACATCTTGCTTTGACTATATCTTGCTCCTCACCCTGGGTTATCTAATAAAATTTTCCCGAATGAAATTCTTTTGCCTTATAAAAATGGCAACTCTTAGGTAACATTGCAAAAATTTGAGTTGCCCACATGGCACTTTGCTTCTTACTGGTCATTGTGTTCTGAGGCTTACTTGGACAGTGGTACCTGATGCCATCTTAAATTGTTGACTTTTCAATTTTCCCTTGGACAAGTTTCTTTCTTTAGTATATTGTTAAGGATTTCCTTGATCAAGATTTTACCTACTTTTCTGGTCCAATTGAATCTGTAATTCTATCGATTAATATAATTTAAAATTGGCAACAGACAGTCATAAGGAAATGCTGTGTTTATTGCACAATATGTAAAGCATCTTCCTGAGAAAATAAAAGGAAAATGTTGAACGAGAAGGACATGCTTTCTTTTGTGTTCCTTTTCTCAGAAATCACATTTTTTTGTCTTGGCAACCAAAAGCTAACACATAAAGGAATATGAAGTAGCCAAGGCCTTTTCTAGTTATATCTATGACACCGAGTTCATTTCATTATTTATTTTCCTGACTTCCTCCTGGGACCATATGAGCAGTCTCAGAATGAATATTAGCTGAATAATCCAAATACATAGTAGATGTTAATTTGGGTTTTCTAAGCAATACAAAACTTGTGTGACAGTGAGATGTATTCCCATCCAACACACACCTTAGCATGATATAAATGCAAGGTATATTGTGAAGAAAAATTATTAATTATGTCAAAGTACTTACTTTAGAAGGGCATCTATCTGTCCCAAAGCCATGAATAAATATATTGAAGGCAATGAATAGAAGAAACAAACCTTGTAAAAATGAGTAGTGTGAAATACAACTACATTTGTGAATATCTATCACTAAAGAGGCAAAGAAAGTTGAAGACTGTTTTTGTAAATGGGCTCCTATTAATAAAAAGTACTTTTGAGGTCTGGCTCAGACTCTATTGTAGTACCTAGGGTAAGACCCCCCTCCTGTCTGGGCTTTCGTTTTTTTTCTTCCTTCCCTCATTTACCCTTCCATGAATACTAGCTGATAAACATTGAGTCACTATAAAAGATATGAGGCCAAACTTGAGCTGTCCCATTTTAATAAATCTGTACAGATAATATTTGTTCTACAGAAGTATTCTCTAAATAAATGTTACTTTCTGTCTTAGAACCCCTCAACAAATCCCCACTATCTAGAGAATAAGATTGACATTCCTTAGAGTCACAGCATGCTTTGTCTGCCATTATCTGACCCCATTCTCTTCCTCTCTTCTCACCTCCATCCCTTTTCCTTGCAATCCATGACCCAGATTCACTGTTTGATTTAGCTTGCATGTGTGTGCGCTGAGTTGTGTCTGACTCTTGTCAACGCCATGAATGGTAATCCACCAGGCTCCACTGTCCATGAAATTTCCAGTCAAGAATACTGGAGTGGATTGCCTTTCCTACTCCATTTGTTTAATTTACTGACTCCTCCCCCACCCCCCCACATATTCAGGAGCCTATTCTTCCTTTCCTTTTAGCCTATACTCTCTTCGTTCTTCAGGTCTAAGCTATCATCATGTGCTTGTTAGCTTGTCACTTTCTCCATTATAGCATAAACACTGCTGGTCACTTTCTCCATTATAGCATAAACACTAACAACTATTCAGGTTAGCATGAAATTGTGTTCTTGTGTGGTCTGTGTATTGCTGGTATGTATTAGAATTTACCCCAAGGTGTCAAAAACCCACCAAATGCTAAAGAGACCTTACTGTGGTTACAATCATTTGGGGACTGGGCCAAAACTTCCGTGTGTCCCAGCCAAGGTCTGTAGCTACTGGACAATTTCATTTCCTTTATCATATTGTGAATTGTTCCCTTTAAAATGCTCCCCAGAACTTCTGGGGACAGGAAAATAGGAAGAATTCATTTTCTAATCATGCAGATTTCTAGGAATTTAAATTCACTATTGGTTTTATTTCAAACCACAAAATTAGCATGCCATTAAATACTATATATAAGCAGCCACAAAATCAGATCATTATCCATTCAGGGTCTCCTTCACTTCTTGTCCTCTACTTTGGAAAAGAGGTAAGAATCTCAGATATAATTTCAGTGTATCTGCTACTCATCTTTGTTTCAGACTAGGTTAAAATGTAGAAAGAATATAATTGCTTAAAATAGATCTTAAAAATAAGGGTGTTTAAGATAAGGTTTACAATATTTTCAGCAAATATGTTAAAAAATAGAAGTGACTATAAAGATTTGACAAAAATTATAGTGACTGCACATGTTTTAGGAATCTAATAAGATGTAGTAACAGTGGCTTCTATTTTCTTTAGCACAAGACAAATTAACAGGCTGTATTAAAAGATCTTTTCTTGAATTAAATATTTTCAATTTGATTAAACCTACCTCAGCCATAAAGGCAAGCACATTTAATTTATACTATGGGGATTTGAATAAGTTTTACTGAGAAAGCTCTACCAAAGAAAAGGTTATAGAGGTAGCATATTTAGTCAAGAGATAAAGACTGTTGTTAGGATACGTGTGCTATTTGAAATGTTTATAAATGGCATTTGTAAAAGAAGAGTATATTTATCAAAATTGCTTAGAACATCCAAATTTCCAGTTTATCATTTAGCTTAAAATATTTCAAAAATATTAAAATAGATACATGAAATACATAAGTAAATTAAAGAGAAAGTATTTTACTTTGTAAAAAAAAAAAAAACCTAGGTTGGACAGAGAGTACCAGGAAACAAAAACAATGAAAAATGTGGCCTGACAGAAATTGTAGCTCAAAGTATAGTAGTCAGTAATGAAATGCCTTAAAAATTGGTATACAAAATGTTAATTATAAAATAAACAAAATTTAATAATATCCTCCCTACATGTAATGAACTCTGAATATTATACTCTTTTTTGGTCTTGACAATAAAAATGTATTTAGAAGTTTATAGACATCTTGGATAAAGTGAAAAAATTAAGAATTAGCATCCATGAGATAAATACAGGAAAAATTTCTTAATTTAGTTTGAAAATCTGGGATTGAAGATGTGTGTCAAGGGATGTTGGTGGCATGAACTTTTTTTTTAAGAACTTATGAATATGCAACAAAACAAACCATTTAATACATTTTGGTCAAAAACAATAAGGTATTTTATTTTATACTCCAAGGAAAAGTAGTCTAAAGTGGGGACTGGGCAAGAGAAACTGACACCCTGGTAAATCACCAAGAGATAAGTACACAGTTCTATGTAGAGAAAATAAGCATAGTGTATGGTCTCTAAAATTATGTGGGACAAAGGAGAGATGACATTAGGCATGTGGGGATGAAGACTGAGTAGAGACGAAACAATCCAATCAGTTCAAGAAAACATCTGGATCAGTGGAACAAATAGAAGAAATGCTAAAATGAAACAGAAGTCTTACTGGAAATAAAAGATATGAACAAGACAAACATTCATGAAAATCACTTAGTTTAGTAGAGAAAAGATAAAAATAAAGTATGACCTTCTTCATATACATTTTATTTGATCAGATGCCCCTCAATAAAACTGAGTCTCCAACAGAACTGAAACCTTAATATTTTGTTTACTGCTCTAATCCCAGAATCTAAGCAATATCTGGCAATAAAAATTACTAAATACATATTTTTTAATAAGTGAATCAACCACTTAATTTTTCTGTAAATATTTGTAACTTCTTTTCTGTCTTTCCAAAAAACACTCTTAAGTACTGTGAATGTGATGAAAAAGAGTGAAGTAGGACATAGGCTGTTAGCTGAAAACATCTGAATGGCTGGCAGTGAAACATTAACTTGAAATGTAAGATTAAGGAGTCATAGTAAATTTTAACCTTGGTCATATGATAAAATGTCTATTAATATTTTTCTAAAATACAGGGCTTTTTGTTTTTGCCACGAGGTTTGCAGGATCTTGGTTCCCTGACCAGAGATCAAACCTGCGCTCCCCTGGAAGCATGGAGTCTTGGACATTTTTATTATATACACTATCTTTGGTTCCTTTTAAAGGAAAGTAATTCTACAAACATAAGAAAATATATTAGATTGACGAGTAATACACTGTTTCCTTATCTTTCCACTCACAGGAATTGAGAGCCATGAAGGTCCTCATCCTTGCCTGCCTGGTGGCTCTGGCCCTTGCAAAAGAGGTAAATACAGAAAAAAATGTTGAAATAAATAAGACTCGTACTGTCCGCCTATGTGTAGAAAATCGCATTACCAACATTGTAAATGTATAAATAATGCACAATCTCAGATTTTATTTTATTTTTTTAATGCTAAGAAAGTCATTTATGTTCATCTACTATCTCAACAGTATTCTATAGGACCACAACTCTGGGTAAAGTGCTTTCTATAGCATTGTACCGTCTATAACATCAATCCCTAAAGGAGAAGAAAATAAAAACCAATAAGCAACAGACCAACAAGAAGGAACACACACAAGAACAAAAAATGAGTAATATTGCACAAATACAATTGCATGCATATACAATCTAGATAAATATATCTTATTACAGTGATGAAATATTTGTATCTCTTACTGTAGGGTGCTAGGTTTACCTGTATCTACCTGTGCTAGGTAAACCTGTATCTAGGTTTACCTTTATCTAGTCAACACAGGATGATACTCCAGAGGATGACATATCAGACAACAATAATAAATATGTTCATAATTATAATAAAAAGAGTTCAGTAAAAATTAAAATAACTCTTTTTTCTGTTACCCATAAAAACTTTTCATTAAGGTAAAACAAAAATATACCAATGAAAGTTACTAAATTTAAAAGACTCTCAAAAGATGTATAATATTTTTATTTTTCAGATTTGTGAAATAGATAGCTCTGAATAAAGCAGGTAAAAATTAGGTAGGAAAAATATTTAATAATGAGTTGACTGTGGGAACTAAAGTTTTATTTTTTATTTTTTCTCTTTTGAAGGAAGAACTCAATGTATCCGGTGAGGTAAGATATTTTTATACAAAGAAAAAAATTAATTTAACTGTAAAATAGTAACAGTCTGATAATCTAGCTGAAGACTCAGCTAATTGTCAATTTTTATTTTTCCTTTACAGATTGTGGAAAGCATTTCAAGCAGTGAGGTAAGATAGCGTTCATTCAGAGGCAATTTTCCAAATTTAGAACAATAAAACACTGTATTATCTTTTTGTGTTACATTAATGGCACCCCACTCCAGTACTCTTGCCTGGAAAATCCCATGGATGGAGAAGCCTGGTAGGCTGCAGTCCATGGCCTCGCAGAGTGGGACACGATGGAGCGACTTCACTTTCACTTTTCACTTTCATGCATTGGAGAAGGAAATGGCAACCCACTCCAGTGTTCTTGCCTGGAGAATCCCAGGGATGGGGGATCCTGGTGGGCTGCCGTCTATGGGGTCGCACAGAGTCGGACACGACTGAAGCGACTTAGCAGCAGCAGCAGCAGGGAAGTTAAGGCTTCCCTAATAGCTCATTTGGTAAAGAATCTAGCTGCAATGCAGGATACCCTGGTTTGACTCCTGGGTCAGGAAGATCTGCAGAAGGGATAGGCTACCCACTCCAGTGTTCTTTAAGCCAATGTGGCTACATACTGACCGGTAACTATGGTCAATTTCCACTGTATATATTTTAAAGGAATAAATATCTAGAAGGTTTAATATTCTAGTAATTTCTAAATGGGTTTGCTATCTGAAATTGTGTCACTGTGCCCTGCTTTTCTTCCTTAATGAACTGAACAGTCCTCTTTTCTGTCTTGAACTCTCTACGGTAACCTCCTTCCACGCTTTGGGATTTATTGAGCACTTTCTGTTTCAGACTTTGACTAGGAACTGCAGTATGAACTGGAAAGAGGGATGCCGTTTGAAAAGTGTGGGCAGACATGCAAATGGACATATTTTATTATTATACCAGCAATCTAGTAAATAGGAGGCAGTGAGAATGAGTGTAGTCCCAAATATGCCTGGTAGAGTGAGGTAGATAATAACCCTACACCACTCTTTTGGGGTCTGTCATCAGCTGTTGGTTAAATAGTGCATCAATACACTTTGTCTCTTCACAAAGGTCATAAGATCCTTATAGGAGCATATGTATTTCTTATAATTTATTAGAAGCCTAAACATAACCGGGGAACTAAGAATGATTAACAAGTGCATTAGTGATTATTATTATATATTTTCAATGACTATGATTCTTTTAGAACCAGATGAAAATATGAGACATCATTTGTTGTCCTAAGGAGAGAACAGGGTGATTGAGAGACATGCATACATGCAAAGTTGCTTCAGCCCTGTCCAACTCTGTATGATCCTATGGACTGTAACCTGCCAGGTTCCTCTGTCTATGGGATTCTCCAGGCAAGAATACTGGAGTGGGTTGTCATTTCCTCCTGCAGGGGATTTCCTGGCCTAGGAATTGAACCTGCATCTCTTATGTCTCCTGCATTGGCAGGCTGGTTCTTTACCACTAGCGCCACCTGGGAAGCCCAATTAGCATCTATTAAATATCTCTTTTGGTACTATGCTCTCTAATCTTCTTTTCTTGACTGCATCATCTTTCTTTTTTATACAACAGCTTTATTCAGAATAGTGGATCTTAAACTTTCAGCCATAAAATAATGATATTATCAAACAAGTTGTCCATATTAGCCTATTAAATGTCTTCATTTTCTCATTTATGTTGACAAATAAGAATTTTTCTTTAAAGCTAAACCGGATTTTATTTTTATTTTTCCAAAGGAATCTATTACACACATCACTAAGGTAAAACCTTCATATTTAAATGTACATTTTTAAAAATTTCATGTTTGATTTTTATAAACAGTATTTCTTTATGTGTGATTTTTTTTAGCAGAAAATTGAGAAGTTGCAAAATGAGGGACAGCAGCAAACAGAGGTAATTTGTTCATTATGAGTATATTTTGAAAAGTATTATGAAACATAACACATAAAAAGACTTATAATAATTATGTTCAGTCTAAAGAATGGTAATATAAATGTCAGTGTAAGAAATGAAAACTTTGACAAAGTGAAAATATTTTAAAGATATAAACACATATTCAAATTTCAGAGTATAGAATACCTAAGAATAACTATTGATATATTCATTTTACTAATGGTATACCTAGTTTTAATAACTGCATATTAGTAGGAACATTTCCAGACTAGGGACTGTGATCCCCTGATTCTAATGATGGATATGCTGATGGAAGACAGTAGGGTGACAGTGTAGCACTAATCCTCATTTGATGACTCATCAGCTGTATCACCTTGACTCCACATTTCTTTGTACATCAATGTCTTCATCTGCAAATTGAGAATATTCATAATTAACCAGAGTTGATGAACTGGCACACAGTGAATATTCAATGGTTTTATATTACATTCAATAGCTTTTATACTCACATTTGTGAATGTGTGCAGTTTTAAAAAGTATTTCCATTACCCAGATGAGAGAAGTGAGGTACAGAACAATTGAGTAAGCAAATGTGTGACCATACCACATAGTTATTAAATAGCAGAGCTTGCTTAAAAATAAGGATTTGAGGACAACATAAAATTCTTTCATTAAATTACTCTTGTGGTAACATATTTATCTAATTGTGATATTTAAGCTCTCCTTTTTAGAATTGAAGTTTGATTGTTTGGCACTTAGGCCAAATATTTTCTAAATCAAAATGAATTTACAAATTAATGCCTTTAAAGACTCAAGATTACCACCTTCTACCAAGAGAAGTAGTGCTAAAAGTTGGCCATTGTTAAGGAACTCCTTGAATTAAAAAAACACATATTAAGACTTAGTTTTCATTAAAACAAACAAAACTAAACCTCAGAGTAACTTTTTAAGTCTTTTTAAAATAGATCTTCCTTCGTTATATGAAATCAGTTTGGACTATTATCCAAAGTATTTAGCTACCACTCTGCAGGCAACTCAGGAAGAGGCAGAATAAGTGTTGAAACCTCCAAACACTGATTTCACTTGACTCTCTGATTTCACCTGTGAAGGAAGTGGCTTAATGAGAAATCCTTCAGTGAGCATTTTACTCACTAGTCTTCATATGACCCCAAACAATTTCTTAACCAAAAAAAATGGAAGATTTTCTTTCTCTCTCTTCACTGAGTTATGTTTTAAAAAGAGGAGGATAATTCATCATGAATAACAATTATAACTGGATTATGGACTCACAGGTTTTTTTCCTTCCGTCTAGGATGAACTCCAGGATAAAATCCACCCCTTTGCCCAGACACAGTCTCTAGTCTATCCCTTCACTGGGCCCATCCCTTACAGCCTCCCACAAAATTTCCTGCCTCTCCCTCAAACCCCTGTGATGGTGTCGCCTTTCCTTCAGCCTGAAATAATGGGAGTCTCCGAAGTGAAGGAGACTATGGTTCCTAAGCACAAAGAAATGCCCTTCCCTAAATATCCAGTTGAGCCCTTTGCTGAAGGCCAGAGCCTGACTCTCACTGAGGTTGAAAACCTGCACCTCCCTCTGCCTCTGCCCCAGTCTTGGATGCACCAGACTCCCCAGCCTCTTCCTCCAACCGTTATGTTTCCTCCTCAGTCTGTGCTGTCCCTTTCTCAGCCCAAAGTTCTGTCTGTTCCCCAGAAAGCAGTGCCCTATCCCCAGAGAGATATGCCCATCCAGGCCTTTCTGCTGTACCAGGAGCCTGTACCTGGTCCTGTCCGGGGACCCTTCCCTATTATTGTAAGTCTAAATTTACTAACTGTGCTGTTTAACTTCTGATGTTTGTATATTAGAGTAATTAAGAGCCCTACAAAAAATGAATAATGAATGGTTCCAAAATAAGCATAGCTGAGGTTAATGATTCTCAGCATTAGCTATAAATAGAATAAGCTGGAGAACCTTCACCTCCCTCCACCACCAGATCTCAATGTTTAGGCTTACCCATGGAGATTCTGATGTAATTGTTCTTTCTATGTAGAAGAAACTGAGTATTGGGAAGAAATAATATCATGAACTATGATTTAATTGGTCTGTTGAGAACTTAGATGAAGGGGATTAAGGAACAATGAATCCAGAATTGAATTTGATAATCGCATTTGACTAAGAATAACAAACCTAAGAAGGTTCGCTATTTTCTGCAATTTTTGTTTTCCTTATGCAACCACATGACTCATTTCACATCTTGTTTTTGATATATGAGCATATGAGGGTGAAATACTAAGATGCTGATTTCAATACTTGGCGAAAATTTTCTTGCCAAAAGGCAAGAATTGTATAATTCATTCACTTATTATTTTTTTTTTTTAAATTTTTAAGGTCTAAGAGGATTTCAAAGTGAATGTCCCCTCCTCACTTTTGGTAAGCTTTAGGAGATTGGAGACAGACTGATCATTTTTATAGTTAATATCTTTTACATTTCATTTTCCTGGATAAGCCCCAATAGTAGCAATTTCCATCAGGATATCAGCTTAAAGATAATTATGAATTTATTCTCAGTGATTGACTATTATTTACTGACCTGAAATTATGTATCTGTTATATTTCAAATAATGCAAAACTGTATGTATATGGTGCTGACAGATTTGATTTTCTTTCAGTTGCCTATATCCTTATTATTGATTGTCATCATTTATAGAAAAAACTGAAAATAATTTCGTCTACTTTTATGTAAACCTTTTAGAGCTTATTTTAAAGATCAACTGCATTCACATTTCTAATCAACTCATTATGAACTTCAATTATTTTATCTCACTTAAAATTTACATATTGTCTTTTAATTCATGAGTCAAAATACAGTCTCACAGTCCAGATATGGGACTTAAAGGAGGAATAGAATATAGTTTTGATATTCTTAAGATACACATCCTTTTGTGAACATGATTCAGCAGACATTTTAATAAAATGATTCCAAGTGAGTTGATATTTGGCCCTAGAGGAATTTTTATAACCTTTAAGATAGGGCACAGCATGGTGTTTTTGTAATATTTCTTTTATGAAAAAGTCACACCAAAATTGCAAATGGGGTGAGATGAAGAGTTATAACATATAACTAAATCTATATTTGTTCTCTGTTCCACAGAATTGACTGCAACTGGAAATATGGCAACTTTTCAATCCTTGTATCGTGCTACTAAGATAATTTTTAAATGAGTCTACATGGAACAAAAAATGAAACTTTATTCCTTTATTTATTTTATGCTTTTTCATCTTAATTTGAATTTGAGTCATAAATGATATATGTTCAAAATTTTAATTCAACATTAGCATAAAAGTTCAATTTTAACTTGGAAATATCATGAACATATCAAAATATGCATAAAAATAATTTCTGGAATTGTGCTTATTATTATTTCTTTACAAATCTATTTCCTAACCAGTCATTTCAATAAATTAATCCTTAGGCATATTTAAGTTTTCCTGTCTTTATTATATTTTTTGAAATGAAATTGGTCTCTTAAATTTATCTTTGATGTTAAAAATAGCTGTGGAAAATTAAAATTGCATAGAATTCTTTGAATTGAATACCAAAGGATATCAAGAAGTAGAGGGAAAAGATAGGGTGAGCCTATGCTGCATATGTCTTTAGAAAGTCTTGGTTTATATCTGTTACCTAAGTTAAACAATTACACTTGTTCCTTTCACCCTCGAAAGTACCCAGCATTGGATGTTAAATTTTATGGTCATCCTAGACAAAACAAAAACAAAAACAAACAAAAAAATACCTCAAATGTGATATCTGAATCACAGCTCTACAGTGTGGTAGCTAAGTGGGGCTGTGTAAGTTAGTCTCTAAGAGATTCCATTTCTATATTCATAAACATCAATTTAAGGTGTTTTATTGAAGTTTTAATGTGAAAAGTGCACTATATGGTGCATGATAGGTGTTCCTGTTAGAATCTCGTTTCTGACTTCACTGACACCAGGGCAGCAAGGGTTAGTGTTAGAATCAGAAGGGGCCGAGTTGTGTGATTTTAGCCATTAATGCCCAAGAGACTAGAACTTATGCGAAGCTCTGATATCCATTGTCTCTGTCTGTGGAGTAATTATTTCATTGCCATGAATTATCTGTTTGTCAAATCCTACAGTTTTATATGTGATTCAGTTCCCTTCAGTTCAAACAATGACGTGTCTAATTTCATTTTTCCTGCATCCTCCATGTTTTACTCTCTTCAGGATCAAGTGAAGCTGTACTTAGACACAATATTTCTTATCTTTAAAGAAAAATTCCATCTTTGAGAGTTCTTTGGGTTGTTGTTGTTCAGTCACTAAGTCACATCCAACTCTTTGTGACCTCATGGACTGCAGCATGCCAGGCTTTTGCTCTTTCTTGGAGTTTGCTCAAACTCCTGTAGATTGAGTTGGTGATGGTATCCAACTATCTCATCATCTGTTGTGCCCTTCTCCTCCTGCCCTCAATCTTTACCAGCATCAGAATCTTTCTCAGACTCTTTAGGTTATCCTATAACAACTATCATAAAAGGAGTATTCAAATGGCTGTGTCCATTATTTCACATGTTATTCTCTTTAACCTGCTCCCATCCTAATTTTATCCCTATGGGAACTGCTTTCTTGAAGATCACCAACAACTTTTATTTTACTAATCTGTTCATTTTACCCAACCTCTCTGTGCTATGAGGTAGAGTTGACTACTTCTTTGTTTATGAAATTTTACACTTCATTTCATTTGGTATCCTAAACATGATAAGGCTTGGTGTTTCTCTTAACTCACTAGGTACTTCTTTGAAGTCTCTCTTCTGGCATTTTCTCCTTTTCCAAAACTTTAAGGGCTGGAGTACCCTAGATTTTAGCCTTACTTTGGCTGATGTTCTTTAGTTCCATTCTCATCCTCAGAGCTTCCACTTGTATGTCTCCAAACTTACTTGTTTCCTGAACCCCAAATTCATGCACTCAACTGCATTCTTGACCTCCACACTGAGTATCTACTTAATGTCCCAAACCTGGCCTGACCAATCATAAATTTTTGTCTGAATCTAGTCCCCAACTTGCTCAAAATTTAATTAAGCATATTTCAGTAACAAAGGCAACTGACATTGTAGGCAATAGACCTGAATGGGGACTTCACAAAAGAAGTTATCTTGTCAGTAAAAATATGAAAAGTACTCTACATCATCAATCTTCAGAAAAATGCAAATAAAAGGTGCCTAATAATATCATAACGTAACAATCAGAATGACTGAAATGAAAAGAACTGTAATACAGTTCAGTTCAGTTCATTTCAGTTGCTCAGTTGGGTCCAACACTTTGTAACCCCATGAACCGCAGCACACCACGCCTTTCTGTCCATCACCAACTCCCAGAGTTTACTCAAACTCATGTCCACCAAGTCAGTGATGCCATCCAGCCATCTCATTCTCTGTCATCCCCTTCTCCTCCTGCCCCCAATCCCTCCCAGCATCAGGGTATTTTCAAATGAGTCAACTCTTCACATGAGGTGACCAAAGTATTGGAGTTTCAGCTTCAACATCAGTCCTTCCAATGAACACCCAGGACTGATCTCCTTTAGGATGGACTGGATGGATCTCCTTTCAGTCCAAGGGACTCTCAAGAGTCTTCTCCAACACCACAGTTCAAAAGCATCAATTTTTTGGCACTCAGCTTTCTGTATAGTCCAACCCTCATATCCACATATGACTACTAGAAAAACCATAGCCTTGAATAGATGCACCTTTGTTGACAAAGTACTGTCTTTGCTTTTTAATAAGGAAAGCATATTAAACTTTCCTTCCAAGGAGTAAGTGTCTTTTAACTTCATGGCTGCAGTCACCATCTGCAGTGATTTAGGAACCCCCCAAAATAAAATCAGCCACTGCTTCCACGGTTTCCCCATCTATTTGCCATGAAGTGATGGGACCGGATACCATGATCTTAGTTTTCTGAATGCTGAGTTTTAAGCCAATTTTTTCACTCTCCTCTTTCACTTTCATCAAGAGACTCCTTAGTTCTTCTTCACTTTCTGCCATAAGGGTGGTGTCATCTGCATATCTGAGGTTATTGATATTTCTCCCAGCATCTTGATTCCAGCCTGCGCTTCTTCCAGCCCGGTGTTTCTGACGACGTACTTTGCATATAAGTTAAATAAGCAGGGTGACAACATACAGCCTTGACGTACTCCTTTTCCTACTTGGAACCAGTCTGTTGTTCCATGCCCAGTTCTAACTGTTGCTTCCTGACCTGCATATAGGTTTCTTAAGAGGCAGGTCAGGTGGTCTGGTATTCTCATCTCTTTCAGAAATTTCCACAGTTTATTGTGATCCACACAGTCAAATGCTTTGACATAGTCAATAAAGCAGAAATAGATGTTTTTCTGGAACTCTCTTGCTTTATTGATGATCCAGCGGATGTTGGCGATTTGATCTCTGGTTCCTCTGCCTTTTCTAAAACCACCTTGAACACCTGGAAGTTCATGGTTCATGTATTACTGCCCCTCATAAATAGAATCATTTAGAATCGATGAATAGTTAATATCTGATGAGGTAAACTAAACTACTGGTTATCTGAGAGAAGAACTTGACAGGGAATGTGAGAAAGTTCTCTCAGGTACTAGTGCTGTTATTCCCCTTAGCCTGGAATATGATTATTTTGTGGTAATTCATTTTAATGTGGTGATGTTTAGTTGCTGAATCATGTCTAACTCTTGTGACCCCAGTTACTATAACCCACCAGTCTTCTTTCATGGGATTTTCCAGGCAAGAATACTGGAGTGGGTTGCCATTTCCCTC